AATATAATCAAACAGAATGGAACAAGAAAAAACAACCAAACTTTATTGAAAAAAAGAATTTAAAGCCATGTGTAACTGAATGCCTAAATGGCCTCAACCAATCCTATTTATACTTTATTCAACTATCTTGAAACTTTTTAGAATGTCTCTAATAATAGGTCCTATCAAGATAACCATCTTTTTAGAAGATTTGCGAGATGGGCCCTATCATGATAATCACCTTAAGTCTTTTTAGAAGATTCTATGGTAGATTCTATATGAACCATAATTCTAACCTCAATATTAGAAACTTCTCAAAAATGACTCCAATTATATTTCTTTATATACAAATAATATAAATATCCTATCTATGCCATGTTATAATAATAATTGAGATGAATATTTGATACCTTTGGAATTTACTGACCTTGATAGTATTCAAGCAAGTACTAGTTATTTACAATACTTCCTTAATATCAATCAACATTTAATTATGTTGGAAATTTTTTTTTGTCCCATTGATACCAATAACTCAACAATGGATGAGTTTATATAATGACTTAGAACAGTCTTACGAGAGGCATAGCACTGCCCCCTTATTATATAGAATTAATAGAAGAAATATGCAGATAATCACCAATAATACAAGATCTTTCAAAAGAAAGATCAAGGATTATTATCCAATGCCAATTTTCTACTTGCTACATCAATTGAAGTACGTAAGCTGGTGCCTTGATGGCTTGGATCTTTTTGTATTTCTACAATGATTTCTGATGTTCCATACCTCCTTGAGCTTTCAGGATATATTTAGATCTATTTGGTCTTTTATGTTTTGAAACTTAAAGAATTTTATACTAAACCGAGGCTCTTCTTAGATCAACCTCAACTACCACCACCACCAATTGTGATTGATGATTAGTAGAAATATGAAGTAGATAATATTTTGGAGTATTGTTATTTTTGTCGTGGCAATAAATATCTACAACTTTAGTATAAAGTCATTTAGAAAGGTTATCCTATCCACAATGCAATGTAAGAATTTTTATAGAATCTAATTTATTGTCTAGAGAAAATTTGGAAATACCATTAGAATCAAAATAAAGACACTTCGTTGTTGGAATAGAGAGAATTTGCCTTAAGAAAGTATTAGGCTTCTGGCTATCACTAATTACTAAATTAAGCCTCATGATTATAAAAAATATCAAGTTTATATATAAATTTGCTCATATAGGGATAATTACATCAATATATAAGCCCTAAGTACCAAAGATCACCAAAATTTTGATAAAAATACTATAAAACCTTGTATATCCTTAATATGAATTTTTTCTAAACTTCAATAGCTTATATCTCACGATTGAATTGTCCAAAAAATCCAAATTTTACATAAAGTACTGATATACTTTTAACAACTACTATAACAAATTTTAACTTCAAAATTCATTATGAATCTTGAGATATTACCAAAACCCTAACATTAGCTTCAAACCCTTACTTACATACATCCATGTGTAAATTTCTTCATATCTCACAAACTAAGTGTCTAAATATCAAAAAATTTAAATATATATATATATATATAAATATATATATATATATATAAATATATATATATATATATAAATATATATATATATATATTTTTAATCTAATAACGTATGATTTTGTAAATTTTGAGTCAAAAATTCATCCGAGAATTCAAGATATGGCTCCAACCATTACTATCAACAAAACGACTTAATTATTGCTTTTGAATTACATGTGCTATCTTCAATGCTCTATAAATTCTTCATAAAAACTTCAAATGCAAAAAATCTTTCTTAATGGATGTAGATCTTAAAATTACTCTTGTGACTAACCTCTTGATCTCCAAAATCCATCATAAAACTTCTCGTATCTTCAAAATAGTAATAGTATGTCTTAAAAAGACACTTTAATTTCAAACGGCTATAATTTTTTCATCCTAACTCCAAATCTTCTAAAATTTATGCACAAATTGTAGTTCAAATCGTAAATCTTGAAATCCTTACTTTATATTCTCAAATACTTCCTTTGAAATTTCCAAAATCCTTATTATGGTTGCAGATAGCCTACTAAATATCTATTGGGCATGGCCTTTGATCAGTAGAGATAAAGATCTTTATCTTTTGCCTTCATTCATCTATTTCTTCCTTTCATTCTTCCAAATAAGTACCTTAGAGGTTTAAATCTTCACCTTTGAGTCCCAATCTTCTCTTTAAGTTTTATACTAAAAATCTAAATCTTATATAATTTAGATACTATAATCAATATAAGTAAACCTTAAAATAAATTTTCTTACATCAATTCTCTTTAAATTAACATACTAACCATTCTAAAGTACATAAACACTTATAAATATATTATCTATTTTATTTAATTTTTACATATTATAAAAAATTATAATATAATACCATATTAATAGAGGAAGATTAATTATAACGAGACATTTATATTATTAACATATAAAAATAAGTAGTTGGAGCTGTTTTAAAGAAGTTTATAGAAGTTTCTAGAATTGGGACTAGGTTGGTGGTCCATGTGGGATGTACCATAGAATATTTTAGAAGGGCTTAAGACAATTATTTAGGTAGGACCTACTTTTAGAATCTTTTAGAATGAAGAGTTATTTTAATGAGGCCTAATATTAGGGACATTCTAGAAAGTTTCAAAATAATTGGATATAGTACTAATAAGACTAGCCAAGGCCATTTGGATATTTAATCAAGTATGGCTTTGGTTTCTTTCTCTCAGTTAAATTTGGTTTGCATTTTTTTTCTTCTATTCTATTCTATTTTCTTTTGTTATGTTCAATCTTTTGTTATTCCATTTTGTTTAATTTTTTTTAGTTTTTTACTGGTTTGCTTTGTCTTATGTTGTAATGGAATTTAAGTTGCTATAGATTAGAAGAGTTTTAAATCTTAGAGAGAATTTAGTCCCATTTCACTAATTAATCTATTATTTGGTTACTCAATGCTTAGCATTAAGTGACACTTCTATTGTAAATACAACTTTGAGAACAATCTTACTCATTACAAGGCCTAATTTATTACCTACAAATTCTCTTAACAATAAGGCATTGATTACATCAATTCTTTTTTACTTGTAATTAAAAAAAAAAATTCCAAAGTTATTATCCGCCTTTGCTACTATTTATAATCACTACATCTATCAAATGGATGCAATATAAAGTATAATTTATATATTTTTCTTTTATCTTATAGTCATATTATAATACGATACCACTTTCAAATATTTTTTTTGGTACCTTCTTGAAATTATAACTATTGGCCTTATCTATAACAACAACTACTTTAATCTTTTTTCTTGTCATAATTTGCAAGGTTGTGGTTATGAGGATTGGATAAAGAACAAATAAATTTATTCTAATACTATCCAATGAAATATTATTTTAATAGGTTAAATAAAAATAAATGTCAGGGACATGAATTTCAAAAAAAGAGAATCCTCAATATACTCTTGTATCACTTAAGAGAACTAGAAAGTCATTCAAAAGATAATATAATATTAACTAGAATGGCTATTACCAAAAACAAGAAGACTAGAAAGTCTTGAAACTAGACTAAGGACTAGAACGACATTGATAAGAGTGAAGAAGACTTCACTCTTGCCTCCTTATATACTTATAACTAGAAGTTACGTGGCAATGTCCTATAGGACCTCTAAAACATGTTGACTTTGCTAATCACATGTCTTAACTTGCAAGGCAAGTTATCTATGTATGTGCCACATAGTTAGTTTATTCTATAAGCTACTACTTGGAGTTAACTTGTTCTACAAGCTACCAATACGTGGTTAGCTTGTTGGCCAAGTTTTTGACCTACAAATATATCTAAAGTCAAAACCATGTTTATGAAGCTTCTAGAAAGCTTCACTAAAAGTCTTTATGAAATTAATATATATTTACCTACTTCTATCTAATCATATAAGTAATTATTGAAGTAATTATATATGTCCATGACAATAAAAGACTTTGCCCCACTTCTTGCGTATCTATTTTACTTATAAGCAGTAAGGAAGTAATAAGTGGAACATATTAGATAAGAAAGATAGAATTAATTTATAATAAAGAGAAAATATGTTAATAAATTGATATGAAATAGTATTGTGTGAGCACTTAATACTGCAATGTGATATTGATATAAAGGTATATATATTTGATATACAAATAGGTATGTTGATTATAAAACTAAAATAAAATAAAGTATATTTATTTAATATAAAATAGTATTATATTTAAAAGCTTTTAAAATTTAATAATTTTATTGTTTACTTTTAATAATAATAATATTTTTTAGAAATTATTTAGTTTATTTTTTTTCTTTTGTGAATATTAGTAATATTTTTGACAAAGTATAATAATTAGTATACATTTTTAAATTATATTACAATATTTACAATTTATTATAAGCTTTGAGTAGTTCTAAAGAGATTTCATTAAATAATTTTGTACTAAATTTTTTTCTTAAGGTTTTATCAAACACTATGAAAATTTAAAAATTCTTTGGAAGAGTGTATTGTCCTAAATCATAAACTATAACACATCAGGAATCTTTTAGAGATATATTGAAAAATAATGATTTATATATAGATTAAAAATATATTTTTAATAATCTTCATATTATGATTTGTAAAATTTTATAAAATAAAATTTGTAATATTATACTAAAAAATTAGTAGTAAATATATTTTTATATTCCAAAAAAATCTTCCTCAAAAGAAGATATTCACGTTTTCCTCCCACGTAGATTTTCGGATTCTTCACCATTGCGAATGACAAAGCTTAAGGGTTATATCCCCGGACGAATGAATCTAACGGATGACAAATGGATGAATGTACCATGCTAACAAGTTCAGCAGCTGAAAAGGAGTGGTGTGTCACCTGTTTAACTGCTGAAGCATGAATACATTCATCCACGTAGACAGACACTGGATGAATGTAGAGTTCGGAAATGCGGCATTGGAGGACCTCGGAGGCGACTGAGGAGCGAGCAAGCGAGCACAGTGTGGATAAGGCCGCGATCATCATCTTCTTCTTCGAATGCACCCCAATTTGTGTCTCGATCGGTGTTTTTAGGCCCCTGCAGTATCGATCTGCGTGGATGCTTCTTACATGAACGCTACCAGTTCGCGAATAAAGGTGCGTGTACTGCATGGCCATCAAATTTTAGTGTGTAGAAGAGAGTGTTATCAAAAATGGCTTACTCTCGGCTTCAACGGCTTCTGAAGTCTGTTTTCGCTGCCGGTTTGCATCTGTTTGCCGGCGTAATTTAACGCCTGCTATAGCATTTCGAGCTTGCTTTGTGGCACAATCTCAAAGCATACGAATATTTGAGTCGGAACAGTTAGAGTTTCGAATGCTGTGATTGGAACCTAATTTTTCTTGTCTTGCTGATTAATCATGAATGTCCTCACTTTCCGAGCATTGTTGTGAATTATTTGAGATGTCCCTCGAGCACAAGTTGCCTAGTTTCATTGAATGTAGTACGAGGATACGTGAGGATCATTTGAACGTTGCGCTTACAGAAATGGCACTTGAATCGGGATTTGAATTGTATTGAGCTCACAAGTCTTGTGTCCTTAATTTGTCAGGAACCTTTGATCTCCTAGTGTTGAAACACTGGAAGGGAATTTCGGATAGAAAGGAATGAAGGCGATGGTGTTGTCACTTCAATTTTGATCTTACAATCGCCTGTGCAAATTCCCTGTGGACTTCCAGGTAAAACCGCTGCTGAAATTTATCTATTTCGAGAATAGTAGAGTTACGGATTTCTTATTATTTTTTGTCTAGAATGTTTGTTTCATGAAGCTTTAGAGGATTTGGTTGGCCTACAGAATTACTCTAAATCCTTACGCCCCTTGAAGCTACTGAATGCACTTTGGCTGTACCAATTATTGGTTGGATTATCATCCAAAACTACAGGGTTCCACTAGACATCGTCTTGCAATTTCTCCTAACGAGATTTGCGAAGAACATAGCACTTGCAGTTTTTTTTTCTTGTTCGCCGAGGGCAATGTGTCCACGGCTTCGAGGTAGACCTCGCTAGAAACTTTTTCTGAATATCAGCGATGATTTTAACGTTACCGTAGCTTGGAAAAGGTAAGCGAGGGGCGCGAGAGTAGCGAAGTTCAACCATACCATGGCGGCCCTTGCTATTGCTAGTGTCCCCACGAAATGTTTCGTCCCTGCACGAGAGACTGCGCCTCGGCCATGCCATCTGGAAGTCCACCAAAGATTTCAGCTACCTGCCGCTCGGTTAATCTTCCAGCGTTGTTGTACACTAAATGCACCTCGATTTTCCGAAAAGAGCTTTCGTAAACATTTTAATTACGTCACAGCTGCTGGCAGTGGCCAAAATCTATCGACAACGAATTTGAGTAAGGACGCACAGGGAGAAGAACCAGGTAATACAAGGCTGCTTTCAAGTTGCAAAGTTTTATGTATGAGGGATTTGTCCTTACTCCTTTTCAAGTCAGCCTTTTGTTCGTATGAATGTTGTAGTATCATGTACATGATCAATAAGTCAATTTATCAACATAGAATTTATCACCCGCATCAGGGATCAGTGCTTGTCTTGAGTATTGCACTGTGCATAATCGTCCACATGAAATTGATTTATGAGCATAATAATCGCTTCTGTACAGTGGCTGAAGAACCAAGTCCAGATTTTGACCTATTATTGAAGGTAAGATGCTTTGTGCACGTAGCGTTCTTTCCAATTGCATAGAATCTCAGGGCTTCTAGCATTGAACCTCCTTCCCCTTAATTCTACGAGACATTGATCATGTACTAGGTTTTGAGAATTTGGCTGTGTCTTTTCTTCTCTTGCAGATCTCATTTTTGTTTTATCACTATCCTTTAGATTGTGTAATTCGGCAGGTCAATCTGAAGGGCAAAGGTTTTATTTTCAGGCTTTCACAATATTACTCTAATTGTGAGGAGCTAGTTTTCATTACCGACGTTTTCTATCCACTACTAGTCATTAGATCTAATCATGTCTCTTCTTTCTTTGCAGGAAAAGGCAGATGAACTGCGAGATGAACTGCAGGGAACCTGCATATTTCTTATCGGTAAAAGGCTCAAAACTATATCGCCGTGAACAAATCGATTCAAGTAGAGATTTTTAATTTTGAATTTTACTCGATTCACAGCTTATGTCTAAGGCTATTCATTTTTAGGTATGATGGACAATGGAAAAGCTTCCGTAGGGAAGATGTTAGCGAAAGAGCTCGGCTACTACTTTTTTGACAGGTTTTTATTTACCTTTCTTAGAATTATTACCCAAAAAATTTACATTTTGGCTCGCTATACGAACAATCTGGCGAATACCTAGTTGGTTGCAGTGGGTCTTACTTTGTCTTTCTTAATTTACTTGCCATGTTCGTGTGTACTTCGCAGCAACGACCTAGTACAACAGGCGGCAGATGGAGAAGAAATATCTGAAAACGAGGAGGGCTATAGAGAGGCCGAGGTACATTTTAACTGGAACCGATTTCTTCCTTCACATGCTCTATTGATAATATAGACGAGTATCCCAAGTTCCACGCATTCAGTGCGTCGCTTGATGAAGAGTTGTGATGTAGGGTGTACTGGTTTTTTCTTTTTTTCTCTTTTTCAGTCATCCCCTTTCGGGACGTAGTTCTTGAGTTACTGCATTATTGAGTCCTTACTCGATTTTATGACATCTTTTTGACCAGTGATGCTTTGATGTGTAGACTGAAGTGCTCAAACAACTGTCTTCGATGGGTCGCTTGGTCGTTGCCACAGGGGCTGGTACTGTACTAAATACAGAAAACTGGCAAGTATACCCATATGTTCTAAACTTGCTCAATGTTTCCTAATTCAAGGCTTGGTGATGGATGCATGGGTTTGGAATGGAATAGGGACTCTGCCTCACGCATTTGTCCATAGATTTATAAACTTCAAGATGGAGTGGCCTGGGATGGATTTATGAAGCTTAAATTTTAATCACTTCAATTCTTTCTTGGCGTGTCAAACTTATATGTTCATGCCCTAGAAGTAGCATATGAACTGCTCGTTGACCTCCGCGTGCCTACGCAGGGGTTATCTAAGGCATGGTATAGTTGTGTGGATTGATATCCCGGTGGAGACTGTAGCCAAGGATGCCAAGACTCGACAACTTCTAGTTCCAAACAGTTCAGATGATGAGGTATATACCGTAGCTATATGTTATTTTCTCTCAAGTACGAAAAGGATCTAATTATCATACGGGTTCGAACTAGGGCTGGGTTACACCTTGCATTGAGAAGCTGCACTGTTACAATTGTTCAATACAGCTTTTGTAATGTTGAAATTGTAATCAGAAGGTTGGCGCTGGGAAGGTGTAGCCGAAGAGCATTACTAAAGTTCATGTATTGACAGGCTTTGTCTAAATTAACTAAGATGTACGAGGAGAGGAAAGAAGTATACATGAACGCAGATGCCACGGTGTCAATTCAAGGTGCTTGGAATATCGATTTTGATGGTGTTTTATTGAGTAGCTGCTTGTTCATAATTTATAGTTCCGCTACAATTGTTGTGCATCTTCGGGTAGAAATAAATGCTCGTGCAGAGCCAATTTCTGATACTAAGTTCTTGTTATGTATTGTGGTGAGAGACAGTCTTACCTGCTCAGTTAGGAATCGAAGACTCTTCCTTGGTAACCCCAGCCATGACTGCGCTACAGGTTGGATAATCTTTCCTTTGTCATGAGATCGCATGACGCTTTACATACAAATATGCATGTCCCCTTGATGATGATTCAGGCAGGTCAGATTTGAGCTGATTCTCTGCTTTTTTTCCATCAAGATGTCTCGATGGAAATACTTATGTGAATCCATTTTCTTCGTGTTGGTGACAGGTGCTGAATGCAATTAGACTATTGGTCAAGGAAAAGCAAGCTAAAAATCTGCGCTTCTAATCAAGCACGCACTTTGTTGTCACCCATTTCAAGCAATGTGAAGAATCTTTTCCAGAGAAATGACAATGCACGAACCCGTGATTGAAGGAAAGAATGAACACGTCATGCATTTAGCAAATCACAACAACCAATCTACCATCACACCGCAGTAGAAGCTGTAAAACGTTATAGTTTTGCCTTGCTTCGTTCGAACCAGCACCAATTTTCCATGTAGGATAGTCTTTAGAGATGTACATACAGCACCACCGTTGACTATTGCTATTTTTTACAAGTGCTATTCGACTGTGAATTCGCAAGAGAGAACCAAACAGAGATTTCATTCACGGCTATCATGACATGAAAAGTTTCATCAGGCATAGACCTGACTTTTTAAAATTCGTTGTCATGGAGTATATGAGAAGGGCTTCCTTTCCCACCTCACCACTGCTCTCCTTAAATTTCCGAGATCAACACCACACTGATTGTCTCTGCCACACTGATAGTTCGGGAATCGACTGACGTTCCAACAAATAACTGTAAGGATGGAGATCTCCTGTGAGGAAGAAATCTCGCGTAGAGCAACAAAATGCACTTCAAACACAATACTCGCCAGTATGTTTCTGTAATCAGATTGATAACGGAATGGTTGGCAGGACGGAGCCCAGATGAAGGTTGGGTACGAATCCTTTTGCGAGTTGCCATTTGGTGGCAGCCAGCAACGCAGAGGATAACCAAAAGAGTCCGAAAATCTCTAGTTCGTCGTTCGCAGGGGCAACGCTTGCGGCACTTCAATATCTCCATCGTGTTCGTTGCGCGATTGTGATTTCTAGGCGAAACAGACAATCCTTTCATTCACGATGATTCCGCTCTGCTGCTCTTGTCGTCCCCAGAGTCACCTCTTTCAAGTCTTTGCCAAACCTGCCACTACTTCACCTAGAATCAGCCACCCAATTTGCAGAAATGACTCCAGATCAAGCGCTACTAAGGGTTCTTCTAACGCTGTTGCAGACCGAGTAGAATTGGGAAGAACTGGCGCAACAATTATCCGGAACGCGGTATGCACAGTGATGAGTGCGGCGACATTGATGTGGAACTTACCGGAAATGGCCGTGGCAGCCACACCTTATTCCCAGTCTCAGACTCAAACGGGGCGTCTGCAGATAGGTCTTCTCAACGGGTGAGCTTTCTGGCATTCTAGCCCTCTCCTTAATGCAGTGCTACATCTTGTCTATTTCCTGCTTTGATAGGCTTCCGACTGGCTTCGCGAATCAGAATGGATATTCAAAAATTCAAGGGATGGGTCTTTCTCTAGCGGCTGGGTTGCCAGGTTAAACAAAATTGGCTGGCTATTAAACGGTGCCCGAAATGAGAATAGCTGGTAGAAATGAGTGTGTGGTCGGAATGCTGGCCTTCGCAGGCGAATCCGCGCATGTCCTCTCGACATCAATCCCAATTGCGTCTCCACTTCCTCCAGCAACCAAGCTTACGCGTTTCCTTGGGAAATCCCTCCTTCAGACTCTGCCACAGCTACAAAGGTAAAAATTCATCTCGGCTAACAGATGTTGAAGCCCTGATTGTATTGCCCGTGTCACTTCCACGTTCTGTACTCTGAATTCTGAGACATTTACCCTAATTGGAAGGATATGACGGTGTGGCAGAAAATTGAAAACGCCATTTTAGGGACTCAAAAGAACGCACAGATTGTGAAGGTGGAAAACATATCCGACGGTACGCTGTATCCCACTTTTTCCCTCGCAATTATATCTCCTCTCTTCCATTTTGCATGAACAATTTGACAATGCAACTTGCTTGCTTTCAAGTTTCAAACGCGCTGCAAAACATCGAGGATCCGAGAACATCAGCTTTTATGAAGAATGACAATGTGATGTGCTTGTGACCACGTGAGTTCTTGTGAATTGATTGGGACTCCTATAGGGAAACGGTCTGGCAAGTACTTGGTAGCAGAAGTGGATGGTTTCTTGGGCCGTGACACACTAGAGTTTCTGGTGCGAGACGACATTGTGACATATAGATCCATGGCCAACCAGGTGAGGTATGTGTACCCTTTCACGACGCCCCTGGGTGATTTTGATGGTCAACAGAAGCACATCAAGACCTTGGGAGATGAACTGGGTTGGTTATTACCTGATTTTGATACCATCAGGTAGAATTGTAACCATGGGAGATGGTACTCGGAGTCCCTTCACCGAGGAGATTGTACTCGGAAGTAGTATATGACCAATTTTTAGACGAATGACAAGTTGAGAGCAACTCTCATTTCCTCCTTTACGATGGAATTGTGAGTTTCATGTCAGATTGGTGTTAGTGAGCTTTTCCTTTTCCCGGTTTTTGGAAGTTTTGCTTTAATTGATGTTGCGGAGTTGCTACAGCTTCTGACTAAGTCCCATGAAATTGTGTGTGATTTCCTGTTCATGGCGCTTGGGTATCAAGGCATGTGATACGTAAGACGTAGATTCTGATTTTCCAGAGCCTGTGCCTTGGGGGTGTTGTGTTGTGTCTGGCACAGGAGATAACTGGTTTAGCACACTTTTGGGTTACCCTAAATTGATGTACAAAGTTGGTAGGATCTTTTCATAGAATTTGAGGAGCAGATAAGTAAGCATCTCTTCAATTCTCATCAGAGGGTGTCACATCCTAGAGCGAGCGTTCCCTCTCCTGCTGTGTTCTATTTATGGCATTTGACTATGATCAAAGATGCAAGGAAAACAATCTACATTGCATCCCTCCCACTTCCATGAAAATTCCCCAACAAATCTCTCTCTCGCTTAATATTCTCTTCCCAAGATGTTTTTTTATGTGCGTTCTAAGCTATTTTACTTTTGTTACACATAACAGCAGAGCTAGTGCAGTGTCACAAAGAAGTTGGAAAATAGAGAATGTATAAATTTGCTACATCTCTTCCATTCGCACCCTCCCTCTGCAAGAATTCGGTTTTTGCTGAATCTTTACGAAATGTGTTCAGCCCAAATTGACTTTTAATACAGGACTTGTTTTACATCACATCCATAGGAGCAACATCGTTGAAAACTTTCGAGGGTAAAACTACGTGAAACTCTCTGACTTCCTGAGGTCTTTCGCATCGTGTATACCAGTTAACATGCGAACGTGAAATTTGATGGAGGATAATAGGGCCTGCATGTGTAGTAAAACCTGGGAGATGCAATTTGGTAACAGAGCTGCTCAAGCGCAGCTTCCATCTACAATCTCATATTCAAAAAAAAACTAAGCCTAAAATTTACAAGTCATCCAGTCTGGTACGTAATCCCTGTCTGCAACTTTATCTACAACAGTCAGACCGCTGAGCTTGATGCACCGCCAATGTTGGAGAATTCAACACAAAACCGTAATCTAAAGAAGAACTACTTAAATCTCCTCCAGTTCGGCTTCTAGGGCTTCCAATGAGACAGGACCCTTAAGGGGCATATATTCTCCCAAATAGCCATCTAAGTGCTCCGAGAGCGCGTACCGATCGATGCTTTCGTTGTGATATGACTTGCATACGAAATATACAACTGTTTGCACTAGGATGCCAATCAGAGTCACAGCCGTCCACAGCAGCAACAGCATCAATCCGAAGAAGACCCTGCCAACCAAGCTCTGCACATGATGATGCGTCCTCACCATGAGGTTGTACATGAACAGGACGAGGAAAGTGCACACTGTGTAAATGAGGAACACGCAGCATCCTATCCATCTCTTGCCCTTGACGAGCTCAGAGCTCTTCTTTAGCGCGTCAATGCCATAGCTGCCTTCTAGAACGGACACCACACTTGCCAGATGCCACACCACATTGAAATAGAACAGAAAGGTGTAGAATACTATCAGCACTGGAATGCCAAGAAACAGCACGTTCATGCCAGTAGCGTGTTCTAACGCGAGTAGTAGGAAGAGCACCGTGAAGAATGCGACGTAGTATAAGAAAATTAGCACGTGAGCCCAGAGGAAGGTGAAAAACAGACGCTTCCAGACCTTAGGAACCACGCTAATAACCTTCAAATAGGATAACCCTTTTCCTGTGTAGATGCTGGCCACACTGTACACAATGGCTGCTGTTGAGAGAAGAGAGAACGCTAGGACGAATATTACGTAGACGACTGTTATCACACCTAAGCCGAAAAGCTCAGCATCCAGACGGCTTTGGGTCTGAGCTCTTGCAGCTGAGCCTGCTTGTTCCATGTCAAGCTCATTTGAGTCCCAGTGGATCTTCCGCCATAACGGGTGAGTTATCAAGTCGTGACAGAAGATAACAGCACCGAGGGGCAGCACCAGAGTTAGAGCTAAGGAGAAGAACAGACGTAAGTGTAGTTGCAAAATGTTATATGCCTCCTTGCAGATTCCTACCACACCTAAACTGCGCATTTCATCCGGTTCCCTGTCCATTATGCGAGACCACAACGCAACCTGAAGCACCTCTCACAATCCAAAAAGGTGACGACCGATCCAGATCCCTTCACACTTGATGATATTGGGTGTCTCACGCTGCACCAACTTTACCCTCACAAGTCTGTCGTAAAGGTTCCGCGAGAAAGGCCACAATGACGTTTCCACTAAGTGAGATAGCCTGTGTCCAGAACATACAGCGCAAAGACGTTTTGTTCACGTATCCCCAATCCTTCTTTCGCAGCTTCTGTTCGAGATCCACAAAGAAGCCCTAGGCTGAATGCGGTAGCCGCTCTGTTCTCGAATGTACAGAATTCAACGGCACGAGGAGCTGCAAACACGCGAAGCCTACCAATTATTCAGCAACAACTAAAATCCTTCGATTCACGAGACGAAGAAGACGGCCACGAACCTCGCAAAAAAACAACTCATAAAGCAACCATTCAAGGGACCTAGGGCTCAATGCAGGAGATGGATAAACCGTCAATCACGTCACAATGTACACAAATTTCACATAGCTCAAATACTCGGTTCAAAAACGACTACAACTGCAAAACAGAACTAGGGTATTGCCAAAAAACCAACCAAAAAAACCCAACACAACCTTCCAACTTCAACACACTGTCACACTAACATAACAATAATCCAACCCAATAGGATACAACATGTTACACATCTAACAGACGCCGCAAAATCGGAAAACTCCGAGAAAGGTAACGCGGAATGAAGAAACGTGATACCCAAGCAAACCCACCTGCCAAGTCTAGCTGAAACACCAACGGCAAATGGGAACTGCTACCGATCCGTCCAGTAGATGAAAACGATCGACAGCGACAACACGCACGAAGGACGGTGCAAAAAGACGCGACTCTGCGACAGGGGGAGGAGGAAAAGTATGTCTGCAGTAGCAAAGACAGATATAAGCCCTCCGAGGAGTTTGCAGGAATCATGCAGGCCAGGTGGAGCCCAGAGCCAGCTAACTTATCGGATTGGCAACCAGATTAGGTTCCGTGTTGATCACGTACCTCACTGCTCTCTCTCTCTCTCTCGATTGCTCTCTCGCTCTCGATTGTTTCCTCGCTCATTCCTCCAGACGAGTCACAATGTGCTACGCATTGCAGGAGACTAGTCAACATGTGCAATGCATTGTAGGAAACGAGAGTAGAATGTGTGTGCCAGTAGGCTCCTCCACAAGAATATGTGCAACGGTTGTCTATTTCTGAGCAGCGTACGGTTATGGACGGATCGTCGACAGCAATCCCTGCAGCGGATGAGATCCAGCGAGAGTGTGTGAGGTTTTTGCTTCCCTGCTTTTCTATAGGAGATGAAATTATGGTAGGAATTATCTCTGAGGAAGTACAATAGTTTTTTGCTTTTTCACGATTAAAGAAAGTTGACGCTCGTTGAAGTATATCAACCTTAAGATTTGTTTTTATTTTTCTCGCCTTGAATTACAATGACAATTTGGATTGTCGAAGAAGCATGGAACTGTTCGCTCTTGAATCACTATCATGGATGTGAATATTCAAAATATGATGCTACTAAACTGCCACTGGCGTTGAGTCCACTTCACGTAGGGCATGTCCAATCCCTAAAATCCGGAATCGGCAATCCCTGTTTTACACATTTGCAAGCTTTTGGAAACAAGAAAAGAGGGCGTCGTTTCATATTCTGTCTTACTTGTTCATTGAATACAGCTCTACGAGCTGCGAATGCTAGGTCAATTGAGCTACATTAAAAGTACCTTGAGTACCATTTGAATGTTATGAACTTTTGCTGGATCTGGATTCTCCATTCCTCCTCTGAGTCTCGTACCTCATGCAACATGACGATAAAAATCTAGACAAGAGCTTCTGTACTAGAAATTGAACAAGAAGATCGTGTAGATCTGGGTGATATTCCTGAGCATTCACAACCCGTTGGCGTTGAGCTTGATAAAAGTTAGTCTGGAGTGCTGATCTCTTCTACTTTATTTTATGGCTCGACATTCCTAACTGATCCATGTCTTCTTGCTGAAAGCATGCGGCTAACTCAGCACGCTTCGAACAAGGGGCTGTGCTGACCACATTCTTTGCCATTCTTGCTAGATTCACATTGCCGGCACAAAGTGCATTGAAAGTGCAAAAGTGAAGAACTCGTGTGATTAATGGCAGCAGCTGGGCTGTGAATAGTTCGGAGGATGTGGCTCACAACTAAAATCCTCAAAAATACACACCAGAACTGGTGTGAATATAATTGAAATGCGATATACTATGACTCTTTGATTTCTTTTTGATTCTGGTCCAATCCTACTGGTAAGCTGTTGCTGTGACCAACCTCTCGATGTCTATTGAATGCTACAGACGTGACATATCTATTTCTGTAATAGCCATCACTGTAATTTATCAACAGGAATATGTTTCCAAAAGGCTTGGAAGACTTTTGAGTTCATGTACTTCTCAAATTCAACATTATATCAGAGGTGAACTATTGAAGCTGGTGAGAGCCTCTTGTGTTTAAAAGCTTGTATCTAAAAACTAAACGAAATCTGAAAGCTCTATTCTATTATAATTCTGAGATTTGTATTCATAAGTGCCTTGTCTAGTTAAGAGTGGTGAAGCGCAGTACAAAAACCAAAGATATCTTGATGAAAATTCCCTGTGGAACCAACCTTTTCATACAGATGGCTAACAACAATTCCTAACTTTTGTAGCTCCGGAAAACCTTCCATGTTCACCGAAAATGCTCAGATATGAGATCTATTTCATTTCCAGTGACCCAAAGTAAGTGCATCACACACTGAGACTGAAGTACCTTGTAGAGTTCGCAATTGAAGATATGCAGAAAGAGTAGTATGTGAACTTCGATCATGTATCTTTAAACAGAAAATGTAATGAGAATCGGCTTTCAAAACATGAGAAAGAGGGAGAGATCTGATGATACTTCATCTTTGGGTGCAAGATCTTTGAGTGCTTCAAAAGCCAACTACTCAAAGGTGGAGATGATCAATCGGCTGAAAATGTTCACCAAATTTACCACGACCAATCATAGAAGGCAACCTTTGTCCATTATCTTAAGTCCTAATACAATCACCTCTGCGAAACTTCTCACCAGCAAGTAAAAACCCTAACTGCTGCCTCTGCGGGTTTACAGGACCCTGTTATTGGGACCCCATTGTCCATGCAACTCGAAACCTTCTGAACGCTAACACGAAAACACCCAGTAAACGAATATCAGAGCGTAAACAATAACGACAATACATTCCTTGAAACTGATGGCCATCCTAGCAGCTGAGAAGCCGAAAGAACTACAACCCGATCCAGGGTAAAAGGACAAAGATGAGGCAGAACATTCTCAGCATATATACTGCAGTTCATTACAGAACTCCGCCTTCCACATTACTTGTAGAAATCGCTGCCACCCATCCCATGATAAAGACCCCAGAATATCCAAAATCATGTTGCAAATAAGTAAGTCAAATGACTAAGAGCAGACCACGGCCTCACCGTTTCTGATTCTACTAGGACTTTCAGAGCAACAACAACGTCGGCTACAATGTAAACTTCCGTGTTGAAGAAAGTCGGCGATCGAAAACCAACCCACCCACCCGATACCTTCACTTCACTGGTGAAGTGAATCCTGTGTCAGCTGTGTGCCGAGGGCCATGCCAGACTGATACTTTGCCAGCTTTGGTGTTGACACACCCATGAGGCCAGAAGGGACACAACCAGAGACCAGACTGGAGAGAAGACAGGTAGAACAACGCCACTTTTGGTTGAGCTTCATATTCTGGCCAGCATTGCAAAGCATCAGCTTCCGCAAACGAAAGGGGGAAATAATGCTGCTGCTGCCCTGCAGTGAGGGACCAAATCTCTGCCACCAGCTCTCAAGGACTTTAAATTGTGGCGCACCATGATGTGGCATTCTTCTTCAATTGTCTTTTTTTTCCTTTTGATGGATCCACTGTGTCTGGCCACCTGTTTCTTTCCGCAACTCACAGTACACACTCAGCCTCGTAGAAAGCTTCTTCAGAAACCTCCTGAGTTGTGTATGTCAGCTAGATTACTAACACCCAACTATTGCTTTGGTTCTGTGACCTAGATTGCTCTTCATGAAAGGTACTTGTTAATGGGCGCCAGACATGGTGGTTTTGACAAAGATCCCAACAAACTCAAACTCACCCCGTTGGCACTGTTCATTTGTTCCCATTGAAACAAGTGAGTTAGGGTACCTTTTCCTATTGATGAACGCAGCAGAGACCCAGCAGAGTACATCTCAGGTCATCGTTTCAAATGGAATGAAACACATTAATCAACATTTGACAGTTATATATTTGGGAAAATGAATAAATAATCAATCATTTGTTTGGAAAGTGCCTTACGTCATCATAATGTATTTATATCATTGATTCTAAATAAGATCAAGTTCTTTTAAGATTTTAGACTATTTTTAAATTTCCATCCATTAAAAAATGTAGTTTGTTAGAAGAAATTCTTGTCATTTGGTTGAAGCACATTTACAAATATACATTTCATTTAAAAATAAAAAAATAAAAAAATGAATAACCAAAAGATTCAATTCTATCTTTTTATCTAATTATGTATAGCTTGAATATGAGATACTTAAATTGCACTTAAATTGCTTATAGAATAGATATTAGGTGGTACAAAATTACTTCTCTATTCTATTTGAGTGTGATAACTTTGATTTATTTGACATAATATATTTGACATTTTGTATCTAAGATTTTTTATATTATTTTTTTATTTTATTTTTTTTGTAAATTTCAAATATAGATTTATGTATGAACTATCAATATGTCACTATACGTGGTGGATTATGCTTTATAAAATTAGTGATAACAAAAAAAAAAAAAAAATTGTTTGTATTACATTTTTATTTTATTTTTTAGAAAAAATATCATATATATATATATATATATATATATTTATCCCTAAAATATGCTAAAATATCAAAAATATCCATATATTTTTAATAATAGAAAATCTACCTCTTGTTTTTATATTAATAGTAAATTTATCCTCAAATAAGATAAGGTATCACCAATCTTTCTTTTTAATCATCATTTGGGGTCCAAACTGTGTGCATTTTGTTGTACAAATTTTGGCCTTGTCTAGTTTTTGATTTTTCAATAATTACAAAAATATTACCTCTTTTTCTTCTATCAATTTGTAAAGCATAAGGATGATACAACTTGTAGACTCTAAACTTATCAATGTACTTGTCTAATTTAACTACATCTTTGAATACTTTTGGTGATCAATTAACATAAAAAAAAAAAAAAAAAAAAAAAAAAAAAAAATGTACTAGTCAAATCCATCATATACTATAAAAATTTTATATTATTGCATCAATATAATAAAGAATTATATATTTTAGTGACATCCAAAGTGAAGAATAATTATTCTTCTCGTAAGTGTAAAGAAAGTAGTTTCATAGATACTGAGATTAAAAACTGACAAATTGATAAAGAAATTGACTTGATGGCTATAACTTGTGATTTTCAAATCCAACCTTTTGCAACTTAAGGATTTTATGATTTAAAGATGGAAACAATTAACATAGATGCCAAACAAGTTGAATTTATTTTCTCCCAAGTTTACATTCTATAAGTATTTGTGATAAATATTAAAAAAAATAAAAATAAAGGATATAAATTCTACATTTAGATCCATGCCAAATCAAAGCTCAAATCTCACATCTATGGTTATGCTTAAATTGCATGACAAGAAGAGCCTTACATGCTAAGATTGCCAAGATTTTGCAACAAATGCATAATCCAACTATTTTTCTTCCTCTACATCTCTTCCATGTATAGAATGTGTCAAGGATATAAATCTCAAAGAACTAAAGATTCAATATATTTTTAAATCACTCAAAAAGACTAACTATTCAAAGATAATAATATATAAAACTAAAATGACTATTATCAAAGATAAAAAGATTAAAAAAATCTTGAAACAAAATAAAGGATTAAAAAGACATTGACAAGAATGAAAAAGGCATCATTCTTGCCTCTATATATACTATCTAATTAAAAGCTATATGGTAATGTTCTATAGAACCTCCAACATGAGTCAAACTTATAAGACATGTAAATTAGCTTGTAAGGCAAGTTTTCTAAATATGTGCTATATAGTTAGCTTATAATACAAACTACCAACATGTATAATACATGGCTAACTTATTAGCCAAATGTTCAATCTACCAATCACTTTTAGACATATATAAAGGTGAAACTATATCTATAAGATATTATTATATTAATCTATTTTTATCTATTTTTATTTAAATATATTACTTAAATAATTATTGAAATAAATATATATATATATATATATATATATATATGATATTATTTTCTTCTTTTTCCTTCTTTTAAGGGATGAGTTCCATAAAAAGCAATGATCATAGGTTAATGAAATCTAAGGTGCAAAAAATTGTATTTGCCACATATTCTAATCTATGTTCTCTTCAAAGATAGTGTCACGGACATACATGTATAAATCAATAATTATCTATATAATTAGATAAAAATAATTAAAAATAGGTTAATTCTGTATTATCTTCTATAATAGCTTCTTAGAAGCTTCATAGATGCTACTTTGACTTTATAGGTATCTATAATTGATTTTTTAGGTTGGAAGCGTGGTCAACAAGTTAGCCATTTGCCACATATATTAGTAGCTTGAAGAATAAGCTAACTATCTTGTAAGCTAAGGCATGTGTCTTGCAAAGTCAACACATATTAGAGGTCCTATAGAACATTACCACGTAGCTCTCAGTTAGATAATATATATAAAAATAAGAGTGAAGCCTTCTTCACTCTTGTCAACTCATTTTTTACTTCTAGTCTAGATTTAAGAGTCTTTAATTTCTTTATCTTCTAGCAATAGCCATTCTAATTTTTTTTTAATATACATACTATTTTATTTTTATTTTTTCACTTTTCTTTTTACACAGATTTCATAGGTTTATACATCTTCTTCCAGTTTATTTTCTTGACAAATTAATAAGAATACATTTAGAATATTAAAGCTTTATCTTCTCTTGATTAAGAATAGATTATCTCTTTCTCTTGATAAGCCATAAGCATATTAGAAGTTGTAGATTACCTTCTTTTAAAGTAATATTATTTTTAGTATCTTCTTTATTCTCAAGTCATCTCTTTTTCTTATCTTGAAAGATATTAGATATTTATTTTCTAAATATTATCATGGCAGAGCTTGTTGAAATGAAGAATGCAATGGCATAAATGTAAGAGCAATTGAGGGAGTTAATGCTTGTGATGAATCAACTCAATTTATGACTACAAGGAGCAAGAAGAATGGTAAGAAGTGAAGATATAGATCTGATTGGAATTGCTTCAATATCTACATCCAATCATGTCTCTTCTCCTATGGTAGAACATTCTTCAATATTAGAAAATCAAGAATTTTCCTGCTTGAGAAATTTGATGGCATAAGATCCAAGTTTTGAGGATTTATTAATCAAGTACAACTTGTGATTGAACTTTAATTTCAAAGCTATCCAATTCCAATATCTTAAGTTAGATTTATTAGTACATTTCTTTCAAATTCAACATTATTATGGTTTTCATCTTTATTTGAATGACAAGATCTAATATTAGAGAATTAGGAGGTTTTTTTGGTGGAATTTTGATCCATGTATGAAAAGCATGATACAACTTATGTTGCAACCAACAAGATCCATATTTTACGACAAAGCAATGAATCTGTAATATTATATGCTTCATAATTTTGACAACTTACAACTGATATCAAGTGAAATGATGCTGCATTTATTAGCCAATTTTTCTATGGATTATAATATGAGGTAAAAAAATTAATGCTCAACTTACTTAAATTTCAAACATTGAATAAAGTAATTTATTTTGTTGTAAAGTATGACAATCAAATATTTGAATTTCAATTTCAGAGTCAAACAAATATGCTTCAATATTATTATAATTCAATGGCAACACCAATGCCTCTTCAACACATACATTTGAAAGTAGAGGATATGTAAATTGATGTAGTTTGTTTCAACTTCTTACTAAGCAAGAAAAGATTCACTGCCATTAGGAAGGATTATGCTTATATTATAGAAAACCTAAACACACTATTCAATATTGTCCAAAGAAGCAATGTAATTATAAAATGAAGAGTATAAATGTCAAAGAAGCTAATACATCAAAAAATGAATTTGTCTAGCTCTAATAGATGCCATGCAACTAGAACCTTATACAATACTTAAAGAAGGTCTTATTTTTTCCTCAAAACCCTCTCTTTGTTTTATATTAAATATTATTTTAGGATCTAAACATTACAAAGCCTTTGTCTTGTTAGATTTAGGAGTCTTAGTATGTTTCTTAGATGAAGAATTAGCTAAAAGACTTAACATATTTTTAAGAAAGAAAACAAAACTTATTTATGTAGAAGTTATAAATAATCGTCCATTATCTTTTGAAGATATTACATATAAAATCCTTCTTATAGAAATAATAATCAATAGTCATAATAGCTTTGTGATATTTAATATTATTAGATCTTTTTCTAATCTAATTATTTTAGATTTATCATGGTTACAAAAATATAATCTTTTAATAGATTAAAATTTTTTTATTTTTTATTTTTCTAAAAGTATAATTAAGAATATAATTAATTAAGTAGAATATCATAAGTCTAGTATAATTAAACGTGTATTTGTAGGTGTAAGAGCTTTCTTATATGCTGCAAAAGAAGGATCATCTTGTGTCATTTATGCCTCACCCATTTCTAATGATGCAAAGACTTTAAGTGGCATTTCAAGCAAATATCAAGAATTTCAAGATATAATTTGAGAAAAAAAATGCACATATTCTTCCAAATCATTGTCCCTATAACTATTCAATTGACCTTCAAGAAAGAGCAGAACCGCTATTTGGACCAATCTACAGTTTATCACAAAATAAGTTGGCTGAACTTAATATTGAAAAAAATCTAGCCAAGAACTTTATACACTATTTCAAATCTCCAGCATGATCTCCAATTTTATTTGTAAAGAAAAAAGATTGATCATTACGAATGTATGTTAATTATTAAGGATTCTACAAGATCACCATCAAGAATAAGTATCCACTATTTTTAATATCTAGACTTTTTAATCAATTGAATTAAGCTAAGATATATATAAAAATAGATCTATGAAGAGCATACAATCTAGTACACATCAAAAAAGGAGATAAATGGAAGATTACATTTTGAATC